GAAGGCAAACTTCAGAATGGTGAGAACAAAAAAAAAAAGCTTACTCAATCTAGTTTCTTTCATGTATAATCAGAAATTTATTTGTTGAAACCATATACTAAGAAATAAGATGATCATTGTCATCAGCATATTGAATGTAAGGTCACGAAAAATTACAATTTTTTTAACGTTGTATGTATATGAAATTTTTATGTAAATATTGTTAAGTGATAGGTTCTCGATTGTTCGCGATAATCTTTCACATTTCTATTCTTTTTTTTCATTTAAATTATGATTTTGGAAAAAGCAAAAAGAAAAAGAAACCAGGAAGAAAGATGAAACCTTTGTATAACGTATATATTACACCTACATTGATGCAATTCTATTGTTGTACAAACACATACACATATATTTATATATCGTTCGGTTTTCTTTTATATGAATTAACAGCTAGAGGATGTAATAAAACGAGAAACCAGCTAAAGGAAATAATAATTACTAACATTAATGGTAAATTATTATACTCGTTTTAATCATATGTTTGTGATAATTAATATTATTAAGTGCGCATGAACTCAAAAATTTTTTTCACGATTAAAATTATTAAATTAAAAAAAAACAAAAATCGTTTTCGACTATCATCTAAAATGTATAGCAAAGTTATTCAAAAAGATTCATTTTCAATTTTTTTCTACTATTCTAAGCACTAGAAAAAGTTCAAACAGTGATTCAAGTAGAGAAAATTATTTACAAAGATAAGGACTCCAGGAAACTAAAAGATTAGTTTTTCAATATCTGGAAAGCATAAATATAGTTTTGTTTGGACTACGTAGAAGAATAAAGTAAATCATTGTTTACAAAATGAAATATATTCGAATTCTCAGCAATGCTTTTTAGCTGAGATATAACCATCTTTTGGAAGTTCCTAAACTCGTTTTTTATTATTTCCGATAGACAAGCAATTTTTTGATCTTCAATCAAATTGCTGCATCTGAACCCAAAAAACGTCATAGCGAAATCGGAAACGTTGCATATTGTAGACAATTATTTATTCTATCCTTCTATCTAATCTGAACAAAACTATATTTACGCGTTAGAGGTATTGAAAAGTTAGTATTTTGGTTTTCGCAATTCTCTATCCTTAGGAGTCTTATAATAATTTTTATTTCCTCATATTCCTGTTGCAAACAATTTTTTTTCTATTCCAATTACTGTGTGAGCTCTTGCTAGCGCTTACGGCGGTAGAATAAAAACTGAAAATAAACCCTGTTTAATACTTTTTGTACCCACTATATGTATGATTACTTGGTTTGGATTTCAACATGTACTATTAAATAGAGTCTACTCTCTCTTAGCTGTTGCTGAAACTACAGCTGAATTACGTACAAATGAGAATCAAAAATCTCCTGGTTATTCTTCGTCGGCTAATAATATAACTAATAGTTCCAAAGGACCATCAAGTACTATTCGTCGAACGACTTTATTTACAAGAAATCGTATTCAACCAACTACTGAATATAATTGTGGAGCACATTTACCATCAATTCGAGATGCAGTTGGTCCTGTTGAACGACAAAATCATTTATATGATGGTCTACAATCTACTCCTCGTTCTAAAACACCTATAACAAATACTAGTCCAAAAAGTCATGGCCGTCCTGCATCTGCATCAATGTCATCTATATTTAATACACTTTCAAAACGATCAACAGAAAATTTTATGAATTCTAATGGTGAAATTGATGAATTAATATTACCATCCAGTCCTCAATCACGACGACCAAGTCATGAAAGTAATAAATATGGAATTGGTATTAATCAAGCAACAACTATAAAAGAAACAATTGCATCTCAAAAAGAGTCAATTGATAGTGCAGCTGATACTCGAAACTCAACAAGTCCATATGATAATAATCAACAACAACAACAACAACAAAATGGTTTAACATTATCAAATAGACTTCGATCAGCTGCACCAAACATACAAGTAGAAATTCCTTATGTCAGTGAAGCAGTCACAAAAGAACGAACGAGTACTGGTAAGTCAATGTTTTTACATTGTACACATATTTTTTTAAATACATTTATGTGGCCTTTTTGAGGTCAACTTTATCAACGGCGTACAAATAATAATATTAAAGCACCAATAAAACAAAAAATAGATAAATATCGTCGCCGTTCAGAGGAAGCAACACATACTACAAATGCATATCCATTAACAATTACGGCAAATGCTGGCTTATCTGCTACAACTCCAGCATTAGCTAATACTGTATCAACTCATTTAAAACCACCACCATCTCCAATACCGGTTCGTCGTGTTACGTCAGATGCTGAAATTCAAGCTCGTCTAGACGTTCTTCGTTTATCTACAAATTCAAATCTTGTTCCAATCGATCAACAACGACATCAACAAAGTTCTCATAATCGTCTTAAATCTCCATATTTATATGCTACACATCAACAATTAGCTACATCAGCAACTCCTCAAGCTCCACAATTAACTCTCCGTCGTAATCAAATAAGTTCTCATGGTACAAATTCTCAACATCGTCCATATAATGGTGTTAATTATCGTCGATTACAACAATCATCTGTAAAACAATCAACAAATAATAATCAAACAAATCTGTATTTAGCTTTTATAGCATCACGTCATTTATCAGTATTAGACGATGCACACATTGAATATGATATAGATCATCCAAAATTATTGCGTATATTTTCTTGGCTTAAAAATGTCGAAGAACATCGTCATCAACAATTAGATCATAATAAATTATTAGAGGAACAAAATGAGCGTATGTTACATCAAAAAGTGGATTTTTCATTATATTCTGAAATACAACATGCTGTTGATGATCTACCAGCAAATACAAGTGGAAAACCATGTGAAAAAATTGCAACTATGCAATTCGAAGACTAAATCATATGATATATAGAGTAACAGTGAATCTTTGGTGTTTTCTTTTTTTACTTAATTTGTGTTTTTCACTTTGTTGAAAGAGGTTTTTCCATTATACAAAAGAACAGTTTTTTTTTGAATATTTTTATCTAGTATATATATATATAAACCTACGCGAGTATTTTTTTTATTTTTATTTTTATTTTTGGTTCTATGTAAAGTGAAGAAAGCAAATACTAGTATAATTATACAAAGAACTGTCGTATTCTTCTGAAGATTATCGCAAAGCTAAACGATGTTAGAGAAAAAAAAAGGATCATTTCTGAATAAACACAATCATTTTACAGGTAAGATGGTTTGTACTTAACATACAATCTTACGTGAACTGAAAGAAGAACAAGAACAACTCGGTAATACTATCAATAATACCATGAGAGCAAAAAAAAGATAAGTGATTACGATAAAGTAAAATTCTATGATAAAAATTTCAGAAATTTTTGATTCAAACAAATTCTTCTAAAGCGTTCTATGGTTGTAGGAGATCTGTTTGTTTTTACATCTCATAATTATCTGTCACTGACAGTGATATTTTTTGTAGCAATGCACTTATTATCAAGCATGACCTAAACGTACTATGAAGAACAAGTATCTTGTATAATTAAAAGTAACAGAGAATGTATTGTATGTTTTTTTTTCGATAGATACTACATAGTGTTCTAAGAGAACTCTAAAAGAATTTGAGTTCCTATTTTGATTTGACTAACTAACGTCAGTCAGTGTACAAGGTAAGAAAAATATTTCATCCTGCATTACTCTAGTTCTGACAATGCGACTATTACTAGCAGAAATAGTGTCTTTTTTTCTCTTTATCTTCGTTATTATCTTTAGATCTTAAATGTTGTTAATGATTTTTCGATAGTAGTTTATTTTCAAGTAAAGCATGCGAGTAATAATAATTATCACGATTTAATTCATTAATCAGATTGATAAATATTATGAACTAGAATGAGCTAGTAATATCTGTAGTAATCTTCCTAGTATGGAAGAGATCAAAACGGACGATTATTTCCTTGATAGTTACAGCTGTTGTAACATTGTCTCAACATACTAGTATAGGACGACTTTATATTTGTATTGTTCAAAATTGCCTTTTGATCTGGAGAGATGTCATAGAGCACAGCTTCTCTTTGAGGTGCTTAAATAAAAACTTTGTTTTTCATTCATAGACATCGAAAGTGGACTTTTTAATTAAATTATATCTTAGATCAATTATTTTAATATCAGATGAAAATCATCATTGTTTTAATAAACAGTCGTATGCATCTGATACTGGAAAAATATCCTATAAGTCAATAATGAAAAAAGTCAAAAAAATCTGTTGGAAAATAAAAATTGTGAACAAAATTGCAGAACACCTTTCTAACAAAATAAAATATCTTCAAATCTCTATAATATTGTATTGCAATGTTATATTAAAACTAAAGGTAATGCAGAACGTTTGCTGCACCCGTTATTTCTCGAATGAGAAAACTTTTGTACAAGAGATGTGAGATAGATTGGAGTTATAATGATATTAAAGATATAGAAAATATTGCAGATATTTCATGAACACACGCAATCATACTGCCATTCTATATTTCATATACTAGTATCTAATTGAATTTCCGCAGAAAGCCTGAAAAAAACATCTAATCAATTCCAGAAGATGCGTTGATGCAAATTGACTACATTTTCACAAACTGTCACGTAAAAATAATAATATATAATATATGTTTGTTAATATTGTCACGATGAGTATTTTTAATAAGAACAAGACGTATATCTAATTCATACTCAAATTAACAAAAATCTTATCGGTAACATTTATGAATCCTTATTTCTTGACTTCATGACTTCAACCTATGTAATCTTTGATCATGTTTTCGATTGAAATTGATGAATATAAAAATTAATTACATAGCTATATGTAACGATAAATTTTCAATAAAATAAATAGACAATGAATATATTTCTAACAGTTTACTCAATTCTAAAGAATTTATGTTGATTTTAAACATTATTGAGTAGTTTAATAAGAAAAATTTTTCTATATTCATTCAAATTTAACTAAATAAAGTTATTGAGAACTATCGGATGAAGACAATTGATCATCATCTTCTTCTTCCTCATGAAATACAGCTAATGCTTCACCCGTATAATAGAGAATAGCTCTTGGTAATACACGTTGTTTTAATAATAGACCAAATTCAATATCAGCTTCTAAACGTATTTGATCTTCATTGTTCATTTCATGAATACCATTAGCAGAAATAATTGGTGGTGAAAAAAAATCAAAAAAAGATTTAATCGATTCTTCAATTTGTACAAATCGAATTTGTCCTGTAGTTTTACTTCGTATTCGTTTTGTACGTTTACGAATTGTAAGATTATGATCAGGTTTCCATGTAATTGAACAACCATAACAACGATCAACTTCTGGTCCATCATAAGATCGATATGGATTTGAATTATTTAATTCATATCGAATTGAATATTGTTTCGTAAGAATTGTTTCATTAAAAAATGGATTTGTTGGTAAAAAATGAAATTCAAGAATAAAACTTGTAGAATCAACATTCGGTGGATTAAGAATACAACGAATATCAATAAGATATTTTAAACAAAGTTCATCTCGTCGTTGAATAGGATAATCATAAGAATCAATATTTTTAAGAACTGTTAACCAGAAATTTGCTAGACCTTTATTAGGTAAATTAGATTGACTGTTTGGAAATATATTTTGAGTTGATATTTGTTCATATGTTTGTGAACTCGATTGATTTAAATTAGATTCTAATGTTGAATTCGATATAATTGATTTATTCATTTGGTTTTCAAGTTCTATTGGTTCACATGAACCATCAATGATTGCTCGTTGTCTTGCTAAAATCTGTTCAAATTCAGGATTATATGCATATTGTAAATCTTGAAGTTGTCGATAAAATTCAACACGTAATCGAAAATATTCTACTTGATAATTAAGTAAAGCATTTATTCGACGTTGAATATCAGGTCGACAATTTGACCAAAGACTTGATGATGAATGATGAGTATTTACTTTTGTTTCAGAATTTTCTATTTTTGCCATTTAATTTAAATAATGAAATGAAATAATCAATTATATATTAGATTTAGCGCAATTTTTATACAATTTATTATAGAACCTAGCAAATTTCAGAGCAAAGAAGCATAATACATTTGTATAAAACTGATAATTAAATGACTGAATTGAAAATTGTTTTCAAATATGTTGAAAATATTTTTCATTGAATTCACATCTTTAAATTTATAAACGAAATTTTGTTATACTTTCTCTCGCTGTTTTGAGGATTTTTGGAAAGCTTTATTACAATCGTCATACTTTGAATCTCATTATTGTTACTATTTTTATTTTGATATAGATTGAGTTTCATCCTAATCATATCAAAGAATAGTTCTAGAGTATCAAAAAAATAAAATTTACTTGAAATTACACATCAGATGTACGTCATGAAAAAAAAACAAATCGATTTATTGATAAGTTAATTGTCATGATGTCAATCCAAGTTCTATTTTGTTTAATTTTTATTAATAACTTTCTGTAAAGTATTCATATTTCATTTGAATTTCTCATATATTGCTTTTAGAAATTTTATTTGTATCATAAACTTCATCTAATAGCTCGATATAAATTTAAAGGCAAGTTATCAATCGAGAATATTTTTGCATTTCATAGATTATAAAATCATCATTGGATTGACATTAAGAAAATTTATTTCTTTCTTTTTTTATATCCATTTAATTTCTTCACAATACAATAAAGCTCCTATGTTGTCAATTGATGCGCAGAATAAGTAACTTTTTTTTTGAAGTGTTCTTCATATAAACAGAGAAATAGTCATTATAATTGCAATTAAGTATGCATTTTCAGATTAAGGAAATAAAAAAAAGAGGAATTTCTGGAAAATCAATGTATTTCAGAAACGCAACAAGAGATTATTTATTTCTTTTTCAAAGATGAAACAATTTAATCACATACATGAAAAATTTTTTTAACAGCATTTTCTTTTCTTTTTTTTTTAATTTTCTATTAACCTCAATATGCAAAAGAAAATCAGTACACTGTGACACTCTAATGTAAAATAAAAAACGTTTGATCAACTATCGGTATTATGAGATAAACATAATAACTAACGAAAAAAAAAAAAGAAAATAGCGTGTGAAAGCATGACATTGTTTCTCACAGCTTAATTTTAAATCTATCCTTTTATCTTTATTCATTTTAAGTTAAGAGACTACTAGTCATTTGTCAGCTTGACGATTGAAGAATTGTTAATGATGCAGTCAACTCGAGACGACATGTCAGGAAATTGAAATGGAGAGATACTCGATATGGATGAAGAATAACGAAAGAGAAAATCGGTCAATTGAACTTTTTGCTTATAGACAAGTCAAAAGAAGAAAAAAAAATAACCAGCTTCTGGTCTTCACTAATGATGATACTGTTTATAATATGAAAGCATACACGCTTGCTAACAATATTATCATAATAAAAAAGACCGACTTATGATCGTTGTTTTTGTATACATATAGAGATAAGGTGAATTGCTTCTTTCTATTTTGTCTTTTTATTTTTATATTCTTGATAAGTATATTCGTACTTTTAATATCGTATGTGATAATCATCAAACGAAAGAAAAGCTTCTCTCATGAGATTTTTTAATTTTCTTTTTTTTTCTGTCTTTCTCATATATATGATTTGTTCAAGTTTCATTTTGTTATAACAGTGTTGGTCATTAGGGGTTACAGATTTATTATTATTATTATTATTATTATTTTGTTCGTGTCATAAAAGAAAAATCGATTTGTCATTCCAATACATCAACAGCTTGCTTACATTAAATGAGAGAAAGACAAAAATGAAATTTGTTCACACCTGAACGATGAAGTGTGAGAAAATCAAATTTTCACCACGAGAAAACAATCAATTATCAATTGGTTATATGATGACATACATATACATACATAGAAATGCTTGTTTATGTCGTGCATGTTAGGTTCTAGATAGAAAAAGAAAAAAAAATAGAGGCATAATACATCGTTATAGCTCTGGTAAGAAATTAGCTTGAAGGCAAAAGTTTGCTTATCAAGTCATTCAATCATTAGTCGACGCGTCACTTCGCATTCAACTAGACAAAATAAGATATGAACGAGATGGACATGTCAACTAGTGAAGAAAAAGAAAAAACGGAAATATTTCTACTGGGATTATCATTATCACTGTGGTGATAGTATATGTATTGTCAATATATATATATATATACATTTTTCGATTGTTAAAAACATTTTACTTGTCTATTGTTCTCATTTATCTATAAATGTTGTATATACATCCGGATGACATGCAAACTTCCTACTGTGAGAAACAAATTTTTTTTTCTTCGAGCAATATGTCTCAAAAAGCAATAACGAATAAGATCGTGAGTGAACAGCATCATTAATTGAAGTGACAGTTGACGTAAGTGCATAGCAACTTGAAAATCATTATGTATTCTGCTCTTTTCTCTTGTTCATATGGTTTAACCGAAGAAGACAATGACCGTACGCGACATATGATTATAAGTAAATTATCACAACTATTCTCTCATGAGATCTCAATGTGTGGTTTTTTTGCTTCATCTTGTCCTTTTTTTTTTTATTGTTAACAAATACATATGAATTTCTCTTTATATATCATATGGTACACCTACTGATGACCTTTAGTAAAAATCTAATTCGATTATGTAACAGTTACAGACAAAAGATCAGAGCACAGTTAGTGAAGCACCATTTTCTAATGATCGATGATTGCACACAATCAGTATGTCACCTATCTTTCTTTTTCGGTATCATTATGATGATGTAAAACAAGTCGACGATGTATACTCTCTGTTTATACAGACATATTCTTCACTTGACAGAACGAGAGTGAGGAAAAAGATAGACGCCAATCATACACATCTTTCTTTTTCTTTCTCCTTTTTCTCGTCTTTCTCTTCTGATTGAACATACAAACGAGAGAAAAATCAAATATCACTCAACAAGCTGCTTCACACAAGACACTTAGATGAATGTTGCTACTCGTGAGTAAAATCTAATCAGTGACAGGAGTGAGATTATCTGACAAGAATTCTTTTTAAACAATTCATATGGCATTCTTGACTCTTTCAATAGTATTTGTTTGATTTCTTTAGATGTATATTCTATTCTTTTTCATGACATTTACTCCAATATTTCATTGTAAAATAAATGATTTTCAAACAATATGTCAAACTGGTATTCGACAAGATAATACAAAGTAAGATAAAATTAAATCATATATATATATGTATATATTCAAAAAGACTTTCATAAAATTATTTATATCTCAATATAGTTATATACATTGTGGTCGTAAACAATTAATAGAAATTCCAAATTTTACTCGTATAACAAATACATTTTATGATGAACTTGTTTTAAATGATAATCAAATAGTTGAAATACATTCAAATGCATTTCAAGGTTTACGTGTTAAACGTTTAAATTTATCTGGTAATAAAATTCGTTTTATATCATCTCAAGCATTTATTGAATTATCAAATTATCTTGAAGAATTAATTATTGAATTTGATTCAAATTATATTCATGAAATTCCTAATGCAATTAAAACAAATTTAATTAATTTACGTTCATTAAAATTAATTAATTTAAATTTAATTGAAATAAAAAATCGTACATTTATTAAATATCGTAAATTAGAACAATTATCAATAATAAAATCTCAAATAAAATCAATTGAATCTGATGGATTAATATCATTAATTAATTTACGTTATTTAAATCTTGAACAAAATTTATTAAATGATTCATCATGGAATTCATTAATAAAATATTTACCAAATTTAGAAATGTTATATTTAAGTCAAAATAATTTTAATTATCTTAAAAAAATTCATTTAACATATTTAAAAATTCTTGATTTATCATCAAATGGTTTACAATATATTGATAGAAATATATTTCAATCATTAGAAAAACTTTATTTACAAAATAATGAAATTAATTCATTACAATTAACATTTTTATTATCATTAAAAAATTTAAAAGAATTAAATTTAGATTTTAATCGTTTAACATTTTTACCCGAAAAAATTTTTCAAACAAATTCAAATTTAATTTATTTATCATTACAAGGAAATGATTTAAATCATTTAACAAATTATTCATTTTATGGTTTAAATAATTTAATACATTTAAATTTAGCACGTAATCGTTTACAATTTTTATTTAATCAACAACCATTTCAATATTTAAATTCATTAAAAATTTTAAATCTTGATAGAAATTTACATATGAATATAAGAAAAAATATTTTAAAAAATTTATCTCAAAATTTAATTGAATTATCATTACAAAATTGTAATTTAACTAAAATAAATTTTTCATTAAATTTTTTATTTAATCTTCAACGTTTAAAATTATCATCAAATTCTTTAAAAGAATTACCAAAAAATTTTTTAAATTATTCTATTATATCAATTGATTTACAAAGAAATTTATTTACATCTATACCAAATTTATTTGAAAATAATTCATCAAATTTAATTGATCTTGATCTTAGTTCAAATCAAATATCATATTTAAATCCATATGATTTATTAAAATATCCAAATTTAAAAATAATTGGTCTTACAGCAAATCCATTAGATTGTAATTGTCATTTACAATGGATTAAACAATGGTTAAAAGAAAATTATGAACAAGACTTAATTAAATTTTTACAATGGACATGTGCAAAACCAAAACATCTTTTTGGAAAACAATTAACAATTATTAATGAACATGATATGATATGTGATGAAAATGAAAATATAAAACAAGAAACAACAACAACAACAACAACAACAACAGAGTAAGAAAGAATTTTATCTATAGTCTCATCAAATTTGAAACTATATCGAAATTAGATGCTATTTCAAATTGAACATGTCTATAAAAATGTTTGAACATTATAGTAGATCTTCATAATCTTAAGAAAACGGAAAATGTGAATGACCATTTGTTTACTTCTACATGATGATATTTCTT